GGTTAGTTAAAAACTAGGTTAGTTATGAAGGGTTAATATCTATAAATAAAATAGGGTCTTTATCCTTTTTTGTTTTCAAAACATTTTAAATATTTTTTATTTTTAAAAATAAATATTTTATGATGTTTTTATATTATATTGATTTACTGATATTAAAGATAATTTTTAAAAACTAAAAATATATTATTTTAATATATTTTAAAATAAAAAAATATTTTAAAAAATAGCACTCTCAAATTTAAAATATTTTTATTTTTATGTTTTTAAATTATTTTAAAAAAGGTTTAATTTTTAATTTTTATTTCAAATTAATATTTTTTATATTTTCAGATTATATATTAATATTTAAAATAATTTTTTAAAAATAAAATAATAACATTTTAATATATTTTTAAATAAAAAATACTTCAAAAAACAACATTCTTTTTATAATTTTAAAAAAAGTGATATTTTCTTTGGTAAATTTTCTCATCTGGTTATCTTTTAGAATTCTTTATTTATAGTTGGTATCATGGTTTTTAAAATCCATTAACTCGTTTACAAACCAACTATAATAAAACTGGTTAAAAATTTGAAATTAGTTAATTTTTTTTAATTAATTAAGTGTTAAATTGGTTAAATTCAGTAAAATATAAAATCAACCGATGTCACGAGTTTGACAAAAATTAAAACTCTATTTATTTAGAGAAAAATAGTTTCATTTTGGAAAGGAAATTTTAAGAAAAGTGAATTTCGAGAAAATATTTTTAATATTTGGCAGTATAATAAAAAATAAACTAAAAAATAATTTATTAATAAATTAATTTTTTTTAAAATTTATATAATATATGAAAAATATTTAATATAAATATTTAATCACTTACAATAAAAGAATAAAATCTAAAAAGTGTAATGATGAATTTTTTTATTATATCTTATATTCATATATAGCTTATTTAATAAAATATAACTATATATGTCATGTAATATTATAGAGATATAAACTTATGAAATTTTTCATATATAAAATTTATTAATTTTTTTTTTAATTTTAAAAGCTTAAAATATGCTTTTTTTTCATATGAAGAAAGCCAAATTAGTTTATAGTAAGAGTTAGATATTTGAGTTTTTTTTTATGAAGATTTTTTTAAAAGATAAATAAATAAAAAAATATTTTGATAGGTTTTTTGGATAATTTTTTTTTTTAATAGGTATAGACAATTATCCCTTTAATATCCCCTAAATATATATCAAATAAGCATCAAGAAATAAATATAAATATTTAACATCAAATATATTCATGTATAAATATTAAAGTTTGATGTCATATACATACATATTAGTTTAAATTAACAAATATAAAAATACTAAACAGAATTAAATAATAAAATATATTTATCAAATAATAAATATATAATTTTTTTATTATAATTAAATCATCTTATCAAACAGGTCTATAGTTAAATCATCTTGCTTTTCTCCTCTGCTAGCTGCTACTGGTACTGAGACAGGGTTGCTATTTGTCACCCTTCCCTTTCTGATTGAGCCCGAGTGGAATCAACTTGCCTCGTTTGATGATCGGTTACTACTATGGATCCATTTGGTTTCTCATCTTTTGCTGCTGACCTAGAACTAGGCTTCTTTCTATCAATATTTTTCTAGACTAGAAGTGAATATGGATCAATGGCAGAAAAGGGGACATCATAGAATTTAATGAAGCCAGGTTATGGAATTATCAGAACAACTTCTAACCTTCTCGTGGAAATATTCTTGATAAATATCCTTGTAAGATGTCAGATTTTGGATTAGAAGTAGTAGTGTCATTGCAGGGTTGAAGACGGTTCTGCATTTTTGAGATATGGGGTAGAGACAAAATGCTTTACATGATGATTAGAATACAAGTTAATGGTGAGAGAAGAATTCTTTCATTTCTTTGATTAGAATACAAGTTAATGGTGAGAGAATTCTTTCATTTCTTCCCCGAGTTGCAGAAATTATAGGCTTTACAAGTTGTCAATATCTGTTCAGATTATACTTCTCTTAATCATTACCTCCAGTAAGCAATGAAAATATACAACCTTCTTCTCCTCTACAGCTTGTAAATGTTTGGGATTTTAATTACAGGCTTGATCTGAATACATGATATGTAATTTTGCAATTCAAATTTATAATTCGAATTTATATCATATATTCTCGAATCTATATTGTATACTGTTAAAAAAGCTATTTTTGAGAATATTATTTTAACGGTTTGTTGGTATAATTCCATCCACATTTCACAAGAAAAATTAACAGGCTAGGTTGAAAGAACGTCCGACATGCAAAACAAATTGCCATGGGAAAGAAATTCAAGAATCACTTGGTTAAATGAAATATTGCATGTATGAATCGCAATTCTGTGTCCTTTTAAACAATTGTCGTGATAATTTTTTATGGTGAAATTTCTTAGGCCATACAAACAACATTTTGTGTCATAAAATATATTTTATAGGTATAGATATTTTATATATCTAGATGAGCGAGTAAAATTTTAGTTATTAAATACAGCTTTAAAATCTTTGTTATTATACTATGTTTCTGAGAGATATATATAAACAATATTGTTTTAATGATATTAGGTTAAAAATATTGTTTGACTAAAAAATACATCAAGAATATTAAATTTCAAAATAATTACATTAATATTATAATTATTACAATCCTTGCTTTTAAGATTTATTCTTTAATATACACATAGCAAATGTTAAAGATTTAGACATGAATAAATTTTAAACTCCAGCACGTGGGAAAAGAAAACTCCAGCGTTCATGAATATAATGGAGGGCCATGCAATAACACTCTCCATTAAAAGGACGGGAAGAAATAAATAAACATATTTTTATAAAAGCTTAAAGATAATTATTCTTGGGACAAAAGGAAATAATTAATAGCTTAAACGTAGGCATAGAAAACAGAAAGAACTTAAATTATGCATTGTGTATCACTCAAGATGATCTAAAAAATAATGATTTGTTCACCATTTAAATAATGAATTATAATGCCAAAAACGGAAAGCTGAACAGATTCGAAATACAGGTAAACAATTATTAATAATTCTAGCGAGTTTGAGATGACCATATTTATATTCCGTGTAGCTTTTTTTTTATTTATAAATATATTAATGGTCATCTGAATATAAAATACTGGAAAAGTTATTTCATAATTTTAAGAAGATGAATAGAATGGGTTATTTATAAAATTAAAGAAAATGCAACTGTCTATTACTAATTATATATATAAAAGGAAAGTTACAATCCATGAGGAATAAAAGAAGTATTTTTCGAATTTTAGCTAATTATAGTGGGGAAAACACAAATATTAATAATTACCTTAGGAAAAAAAAGCAAAAAGCAAAAAGTAAAAATGAAATAAAATTATTGAAATGGGTATAAAAGGAGTAATTAAAATCCATAGAAAAAATTAAAACAAGAAGGGCATTAAAATCCTGAAAACATTAAAACCTAGGCTAATTATAAAAAAGAAAATACAAGTTAAAATAATTAACTATATCAGAGAAAAAATAAAAATAAAAACTAAAGGTATTAAAATTCTTTATAAAAAGAAATCGTATAAAAGACAACATCAAATAATTAACTATATACAGAAAAAAAATATAAATAAAAATTAAAGGTACTGGAATTCTTTAAAAGAATAAAGCAAAAATGGTATAAAATTCTATTTAGTAAGCATGCAAGTTGGTCTCTTTTGGATTGCCTTTTGGTCCGAAACCAAAAACCCAAGACTATTTTAATATGCCTTAACGTTTCAATTTAACACCTTACATTCAGATCACCACCTCTGCCCTCTACATCAGCTTCTATGAAGCTCTCTGGCTTGAACTCGAGCGGGTCTTCCCACGCATACGGGTTATGTGTGATGGCCCACATGGTGACATGGCAGTGGTGTCCGCGCAGATGTCCATTCCGTTGCTGAGCTCGGCCATGACCCCCTCAGTTAACAGAGCAGTTGTATCCGTACCTTTAACATCGTGGCTGCATGTTAGGGGTTGATTATTTTTTAAAATTTTTTATTTAAAAATATATTAAAATATTTAATAATTATTTTTATATTATCACATCAGAATATTTAAAAATACTAAAATAATATTAATATTATTTTTATATTATCACATCAGAATATTTACAAATACTAAAATAATATTAATAAAAAATAAAAATAAAAAATATTTAAATTTTTCCTAAAACACTCTCAAAATAGAATCTCAGCAACAACACTCAAGTCCTTTCTGAGTTTTATTTCGAAGAGATCCATAAAAAGTTGTGGCCGGACCGGGGGTTCAACAAAAGCACAAATATTATACTTTTCACAAACAGCAGCTTTGAACCTCAGTTTCTTCCACCGCCGACCACAAACAATAAGAGAAAACAAAGAGCTGTTGGAGGAAAATCAAGCTTCCCAGCCTCCCCGATTCCTCTAAAAAAGCAGAGCACAAAGAGTCAGCTGCACAAGTGTCTGTTACTGATATCCATACAATTTTTGGTACTAGGTTTGATAAAAATGAGGTTGTGAGTTTGGTTTGGTCTCTATGCTCGCTAAACTTGACAGGATGATCCATTTTCTTGACGGGTTTGTCTTTTTCTCGAGTGTTTACTATCAGATTTGCATTGAAGATAAAGCTGAGAGTATGTAGTGAAGGACAGGGGTGTCCAAACATTAGAAAGACTGGACACGAGGAGAATAAAGAGAAAGAGGGGTTGGACGCGATGTAAAAAAATAAAAATTATTTGAAGTATTTGTTTGTTTTATAATAAAATAGTAATAGTTAATTTTTTAATATTTTAATTAAAAATTATTAATATTAATATATATTTTTATAATTATTTTATAATTTTAATTTTAACTAAATATATATAATTAAACAAACTTTAAATAATAATATTTTTATAAAATAACTTTTTTAAATTCTAACCACCAAAGATTACTACAGTACAAAATCCACGTATATCATTTTCCAACCATAAAAAACAAAAGTCTAAGATGCTCACTTACCAGGTAGAAAATCCAGCTACTCGCTCGCAGTTTCAAATAGCATTTTGCACTGCCACTGCCCTTCTTCAGTAGATCAGTAGAGAAGAATCCAATGGCAGAGATAAGTAATGATAAAATAGTGCCATTGCCTTGTGTAGTGGAGGAACTGATAGCCAAAATCTGCAGGGAGCAGAATCGAAGGCCGCTAGAAACCAATACCAGGTTGACACTGGCTTTGTTAGGGGAAGAAGTTGCTTTAAATATTCTCCGGAGAATTTCTGGTCAAGAGATTAGAAAAAGTTTTGACGGTTTCGTTCTGTACTTGGCCAAACAGTTCTCTCCTAATATCAGTGCTTCTTCTTCTTCCCCCAACATAAACTCCTCCCTCTCCCCATCTCCTCAACAACCCAAGAATCGGAGCCCCATTACACCCACCCGTTTACTGATGAATTCTCAAAGTAATCTACTTATTTTTTATTTTTTCATTTCGAAATGCTAATCATCACTGTTTGGAAAACTTTTCTGTCTGTGAAGGTCAAAGATGCAATTCAGGTTCTGGATTGAATTTTTTTTTTGTTTTTCCTTCCGTTGGGGCAATAATATAGGTGATTCTGGTGCTCAATCTCCAATTCCATTGAAGCTGGAAGGTTCACCAACCATGGATTCACAGAGACAGAGAGGAAATGAGTCTACAACCAGTCAACATTTGATGGCTTTGGGAGAGCTTGAGTTTAGAAAAGCTTTTCTTATCTTAAATTACCTTGGAGGGTAAGCTTTGCTTTACTTTGCGGTTTCTTGTGTTTTGCTAGCTGTTTGGTTGATAAGGTTTAATATATTCTCAAAATATCTACAGAAAAAATTTGGAAGAGGTGGTATCTGCCGATCAAATTAGGGGGTATAAGGATTTGCCAATGATAATATTTGAGTCAAAAATTTGGGAAGCTTTTGGATGCAGGAGAGATTATATAAAGGAAGAAGATCGTGTCAAGGTAGATATGTTATAAAACTATCTGGGTTTTATGCTTTTTAATTTGTTTAATTTTGAAATTTGAATGATTTGCGTGCTGGAGTCGCGGGTATGTAGTGAATATGTATGTGTAAATTGCTTATCTAGAATTGTAACTGATTATAATCCACTGTTTTTTTTTTGTTGCTATACTGCAGTATCCTGATTGGGATTCTGGGAAAACACACATCTATCATTGTCATGTTGATCCGGATGGAAGTTATAGGTTCAAGGTTTGAATTTCTCCTTAATCACATGCTTATGCATACATGATAAAGAGAACCATCAATTGTATTACTCTCCTGAAAAAAGAACAAAAAAGAAAGAAAAAAGAAAAAACTGCTGGTGATTCATGATCAAATTTTTTCTATTCTGGAAATTTTGAATTTGGATGCTTTTTTTCCTTTCAACTTCATGCTTGTATTATCATGGTTAATTTTGTGTTATCATTTCTATGAAATTCGCTTGTAGTTAGACCTGTATCAATTCTTTTATTCCAGATGTTGATAACATGAAATGCTCCTTTCCAAGGGTTCGAAAACAATTATGTTATTTATTGTGTTATCCTACTGTTGATTATTGATTATTGAGAGAAACTACTGATGTGTTTTTACTGAAAGAAGACATGATTTTTGGGTTAGCATTGTCATATTCATTAAATTTATTTCAGGGACCTTACCTCTCCAAACTGAGAAATGTCCTGCAAAGGACCTTGGGAGATGACAATATCTTGATGGTAAAGTTTGGGGAGGAAAAAGATGATAGAGATTCAGGGAGCAGTTCTCTGGATGATTATTTTTCCAAGTACAACAAGGTTCTTGGAGAAGGGATTCATGTTGGTTTGCGTTGTTACCGCTTTTTTGGTTAGTGTATAGATTGCTTCTTGGTTGATGAATATTGACTTTTGCATGACCCTTTTTGAGACACTGCATTCTATATTAATAACATACACTATACACTTATAAGCATAAGTTTAAGATAACTCCATAGCATATTTGTTCCTTGTGTGGGAGAATTAACTTTGTACAATGCATTTAAATAGATAATTGTCAAAATCGCTATAAACGAGCTTTTACTTTCCTGTGTTATACTCTAAGTCCTTTCAGTGTAACGAGATACCAGTGCCAGTCAAATATTTTTCCTTTCTTGTTTCTGTCCTTCAATGATAAGGCATTAGCTCATCATCTCAGTATGATTTGTACTATGCATTTCAAGAACTGTTTGTCATTGGGCCTCTGTAATAGATAGCTAATGGATTCTTATACAAACTCATCTTTAAGAAAAAAAGATTGTTTTTGATCCATGCTTTCAGATCCATTGCAAAATTGGTTAGTTTCTCTTGTTTTGTAATGAAATTAAGTATTACAACCATTTGTATCATAGTTTCACTTCTAAAAGTAGATATTTGGGCAAAAACTGTCACTTACATGTGTCACGGTACTGTGGCAGGTGATATTGTGTCATACATGGTCTTCGGAACATCTTTTGTTTGCTTTTGAATCCTTCAAGGATAATCATTTTGTTTAACTGACATTGGCTGTTGACCGTTGTTGACCAGTGTTTAAAGATGGAGGCAAAGAAGAAAAAAAGAAAGACCCAACCACTTCTCCTGTCAAGTGTTTTTTTGTCCGCATGGAATCTGTTGCATCGATTGATAATCAAGACTATATTTTGAGCGGGAAAACAATCCGTCAAGCTAGATCTATTTTTATGCATGTGGACAATTTGTCTAGTTTGTCCAACTATATGGCTAGGTTGGTGACACTATGATCTCCTCTCCTATATTTGAGAACCATATTTAACATGCTCTGTTAGCAATTTGAGATTAACATTCTTTGAAGAGACTCAGGTTTTCGCTGATTTTGTCAAAGACCATGAATCTGGAAGTTGATTTATCCTTTGTAGATATCAAGACAATAGCTGATGAACCATGCCGGGTGCGACTTATATGTTGATTTTTTTTCCTTTTTTTTTCAAAACATGGCTTGTTATTTGCTAGGTATGTGTGGACATACACAGATTATTGCCTGTTTGTCTATTCAATTTGCTGTTCTTTTTTATGTTTCTGTTGTTGCAGGATAAAGATGGTAATGTTGTTTACGGTACAGATGGGAAACCTCTTATATATACAGATGGAACTGGGTTTATATCTCATGATTTGGCTTTGAAATGCCCAAAGAATCAATTCAAAGGAACTTGCCTCCGAGCTTCCAATATTGAGGTTTTTGGTTAAGAGCTTGATTTCATTGTGCAATATGTTAAGTGAATTCTATTTAAAGAACGACAAGTATCATTTTCTCTAAATTAAATTGAACATAGATGTTTGATGATCATACTTTAGCTTTTATAATTTAATGTTTTGTTTTGTGTATGGTAACCACCCACTCTAAGTTTGACAATGATCCATTGATAATCAAAATTCTAACTCTAGGAAAAGAAATAGAAAGAAAATGGGTGAGTCAAAATAAATGAATATCTTCTCTTTATGTTTTCCACCAACTATTTTTCATTGAAGCCTGTTTCCAGTTATTGAAAATTTCCTTATCCTGACCCTTTTGTTGCATTCATGCACGGGTATCCAAGGCATTGTCAAAGAATACTTCTTCCAACACAAGGATAACCAGTGGAACTTTCACATTATTATTAGTAATAGCTGAATAATCGAGAATAAAAACTATCTCATTGCTTTTACTATGTAGGAGCTCACTAGAGGAGGGTTGGTTTAATAATTTAGATGTTAACATGTTTGTTCACTATTTTCCTTTTATGATGTGTGTGCTCGATCTCATTCCTCAGATTTATAGCATTATGTTTACTTATGTTTTATCCCATCTATTTTTTTTCTCCTTACCCTAGAACTGATACTGGTTCTTTTCTGAGTATATAATTTATGGAGGCAATGTTTTACCTCATTGCTGCTTTATTCCATCCACATGTTGATGTTTTTTCTTTTTTGTTTTTGGATAAACAGAACTTTTCATGTTTTGGCTCATTTGTTTTTTTCCCCTTCACTGCTAGAGAGTAAATGTACATAATGAAGTCATGGAGCAATATCCAGAATGTTGCAATGGGGATCCAGTATGTGCATCTCAGTCATTGCTAGTTTCTGTGGTTTTAAAATTCTATTGTTTATTTGACTTCGAATGAATTATCTTTTCATTTCTTTTTTCAAGCCTTTGCTGATCCAGTTTCGTCTCTTTAATAATGGTAGAGCTGTCAAGGGAACTTTCCTTGTGAATAAGAAGGTATAGTTTTGGAATTTTGTATTCCATTGAAATAATAATGAGTTGATTTTTTGGATTGATGTCCTCTCGTGTTCTTTTGCATCATGTTTTGTCATGTTTGTGAGATCTAAACTATTAAATTCAAAATCAATGGGCATTACTTTAATGCATGTTAAAATGATTATTATATTTTTTGCTTCACCAAATCTAGTCATTAAATTCAAAATTAATGGTGACATTTGGAACATGATTGGTTATATTCCCTTAGGAACACAAGAGGATCCAAACATTACTTTTTTGTCCATATTTAAGGTTCATTGAAGCCAGTCTGGTACAGTGATGATTTTAAAATTTTAGAGAATTTTCACATGTTGATACAGTTGATGTACTCTCTCTGAATCATGAGGTTTCTAAAACTTTGAAGATTATTGGATCTTTAGTTTGATGCATAGGAGTGATTGTAATTTCTCTTGTTTCAGAGAAGTAATGGCTTTTGATGTAAGATTATTAGGGTTGGAGAGGGAATTGAACCAAACAATCTATATGCAGGTGAACTGAAGCTGTCCAAATGACCAGAAGTTTCTAAAAGAAAAGTACATCATATGAAATCACATACTATCTATTTATCTACTTTGGGACAATAAATGTTTGGTTGAATAACTAACAATTATGGTTCCGTCACTGTCAGAATGGAACAATTTTCTTTGAGGCTGGAGGGGTACGAAGCTTAACTGATGACCATGTGAACATGATGATTGCAAAATTGAATATTACGCAATTTATATTCTCACTCCCCTTCTGAATGCTTTGATCTACTTATTTTTCTTCTGCAAAATTATCCTTTCTCACCACTATTGCCTCCATTTCTGATCTAAATTGCATACAACAATATCTGCATCAGCAATGTAGTTTGGGTTGATATGACCTTTGAATTGAAATTGGACCTTTATGCCAGATTTTTCTGTTATGACATGACATATTAATAAATCATTCACGTTACTTTAGGAAGAAAGTTTTGAAATCCAATAACTGGTGGTTATTGATGGTCCCAGCCAGAGTTTGTGGATAACCTGGTTCCTATCTAGCTAATTTCTTTCTTGATTTGTTTGTGTTTCTGATATTTGATTATTATTTCCATGTTTTTTTGTAGCTTACTCATCAAACTCTGCACATAAGGCCTTCTATGATTAAGGTTGAGACGGATCCAAAACTATCAAGTACTTTTTCAAAAAATTCATTGGAGATAGTTGGAACCAGGTAGTTATGATTTTTGTTCTTTATTATTTCCTGTTTGTATGTTCTCTCAGTTGATGTTGTGTTTTGGTTTCTAACTGAACAACTGAAGTACCATAATAATACAATTTTTTTTTATTGTAAGTTACAAAACTTGATATTCTGTTCAGTAGTTGGACATGAGTTTTTGCAATTATGTTTGAAAGAAGCTGCCAGCAAGTTGGACTGGCTTGGAAGCATTGTGATGTATCTTGAAATAAACTTACTGATATAGAGAACTCAATGCTCTGCCTTTTTTATCACTAACTATGATTTATCCAATGAAAGAAAAATGCGGTGACATTCTTACTTTCCATCTTGCAGCTCTCGACCAAAGAAAACGGTCCTTTCAAAGAATTTAATCGCACTTCTTAGCTATGGTGGTGTTCCAGAAGAGTTTTTTATGGGAATATTGAATAATGCTCTGGAAGATGCCCACGGCATTCTCTCAAACAAAAATGCAGCTCTACGAGGTAGTTTCCTTTATAAGAAGTGTTTGTTTTAGGTTTTCCTTCTGATTCTGGTTTCTTCTTTGAAGATTAAGCTGGTCAGCAATGCCATTGATTATACATTAACTTCTTCTGTTTTGCTATTTCTTTGTGGATCCTTCCTGGCCATTTCAGGAAGGATTTTTATGCTTTATTATCTTTATTTTATTTTCATGGATTTTACTCTTTTACAACTTGTTTTAATCTTCCCAGGAGGATGTTTGTAATGACAATTCTGGTGTCCTCTGTTGAGCTGGGCATTCATTGATTTATTTATCTATATTTGTATGTTAATTTATTTTTTATTCTCAATGTTTCCAACTCCTATTAAGTAACTGTAACAAAGGTTTTTCTTTGCACTGATCAGTTGCACTTAATTATGGGGATATGGATGATAACATTGTGGCAACAATGATTGGCTGTGGGATTCCGCTAGAAGAACCGTATTTGCAACATCGGTTGTCAATACTGATGAAGGAAGAAAAGAAGAGTCTGAAAGGAGGAAAAATACCTGTGCCTGAATCATATTATTTGATGGGGACAGCTGATCCAACTGGACTCTTGGAGAGTGATGAAGTTTGCATAATACTGTACGTTTGTTATTGGCATGTTTCTTTACTATTAATGTGACACATATATACATACACATTAGCATTTAACTAGCCGGATTTGAAAGTCACAAGATTTGTTCTATGCCTGGCTATTATGTATGTGCATGGTTTACCCCTATACACACCCCCATCGTTGCAATTTTGGATTGAAGTTATCAATGTAATTATGAGGTGCTTTCTTTCTTGATGGAAAACATGCAGAGATTGTGGACAGATTTCAGGGGAGGTATTAGTCTATCGGAATCCAGGTTTACATGTTGGAGATATACATATTTTAAAGGCTAAATATGTAAGGGAGTTGGAAGATTTTGTTGGAAATGCAAAGTATGCTATATTTTTCCCATGCAAAGGACCACGGTCTTTGGCAGATGAGATGTCAGGTGGTGATTTTGATGGTGACATGTTTTTTGTGTCAAGAAATCCTCAGGTCAGTGTTATTTTCTTGATCTTTGGAAGAATATCCCTTTTCTTATTTATTTCATTCCATTTAGGAGGAAAAGAAAATAAAAATTGCTTTGTGTGTGTTTGGGAGATGTTTTTGGGAGTCAGGTTCTTCAGCCATTCTCTTATTTCCATTTATTTGTGTAAGTTTAGTTATTCCTTTGTTCTGTAACATCTTATTGCCCCATTTGGGTATTTATCTCATTTTCAGGTAGTGCTTTCAGAAAACGAGTTGGTAGTTTATTCTCTCATCTCTTTCAAGTGACGTTGAACCTTCAGGACCTATTCAGTAGCAGAAACGGAGGCTATTAATAGGATGTCTTTTTCATGTTCCCAAATTTGGAAAACTCAACTAAGATGCTTTCTCAGTTTCAATTGTTTCACAAATGACGAACAAGGATTATTTTGTTGTTTGGCCTTTTCATATTTGATTAATGTTGTTTTTTTATTATATAAATACAATAATTTTTTTTTAATGAGTTAATGAGTAGAAGAATTTTTTAGAATATTATTCAAGTATAAAGTTAAAATGATATGCAAATAGAAAAAAAGATTTAGAGCTTTGTTTCTTGACTATTCTCTCAATTTTCTATTGAAACAACTATGACATAGGCGGCATTTTTAGATGAAAATTTTGTTTCCGCATCATTTTAACTTTTTACTAGCATCTCCGAGGAATAATTATAGCTAGTGTCTGTTAAAGTGACAAACCATCACTGCTTTTATTGTGATAACCTACTGGGACCTGGCAAATAAAACCTCTAGAAACTATTGCTTTTAATTTGTTAATGCTGCTGTGTTTACTGATGATGGAACCTGTGTTTACTGATGATGGAACCTTTTTACGTATAATTTCCTTCACTCCTTATGGTGCATCTCTTTGAGACTCCTTCATGTGTATGTCATTTCATGTGCTTGAGTTTTATTTCATACCAGTGATCAACTGAGAACTGTTTGTATGTCTTTGAAAGTTTGGTCTTGTGTAAATAAATGTTTAAGTTCTGTTTCTAACTGAGTGGAATATGTATGGTTTCAAAAATTAATCATTTGCAATCTCTTTTCTCTTCAGCTTCTGGGATACTTTAAACAAACGGAACCTTGGACACCTTCTACTTCAACCCCTAATGTGCCTAACAGAAAACCAAGTGAATTCTCTGATGAGGAGTTGGAGGTTGAGCTTTTCAAACTATTTTTGAGGAACAGGTTTCAGCCAAGGTAAACACCTGATTGCATAATATGATAATCTTTTGCAACCAGTCAGCCACAATGCTTCATTTTTGTCCATCACATGTCTCGTTTTTAGTGTTGATTAGAAAAAATATTTTTTTTTGAACTAGGATGCTACACTTTTTCCCTCTAATCTCAATATATGAATTTATTTATTGATGGAATATCACATTAGTGATGTAATGTTGAAATTGTACGTTATTTATTGAGTTATGTGGGTTGTTTACCCTTTTGAACAGGCCCAAGTCTCAAACATTTCTTGCTCTGGGGTTTGAAAATTTGTTTTCATACTTGTATGAAAGATGAAAATCTACTATGCTAGCTTGGGTTAGTGTATCCGGTCCCAAGCCTGGATAAAAGAGTAGGGTTGGGGTAGGTTTACAGCCAGCGTAAAACTGTCATTTCAATGGTATGGATCCTTTTGATCTAACTTGTATGAAATATGAAGGCATGTAATCTATTTTAGTTATGTATCTTCATCACAATGTTCAATGCGTCAAAGCTTTTGGCTACTTTCAGTTCCACTGTGGGGGTGGCAGCGGATAGCTGGCTGGCAATGATGGATCGGGTTCTAACATTGGGAAATGATTGCACAGAAGAGATAGCTTGTGTGAAAGAAAATATCAATCTGTTGATTGATATATACTATGATGCTCTAGATGCTCCAAAGAGAGGTGGAAGAAGGGTTAGTTTCCTACCTTACTGGCTGTCAAATGTACACTAACTAAAGTTTTCTTATTTCTTCTGAACTGGATGAAATGAATTATGGGTTATGTTTACTTTAAGATGATCACTTGTCCCAATATTTTTGTGAACATGGCAAAGAAGATTGAATTCCCTGATGCCTTGGCTGCAAGCATTTTGAACTTCTAAGTTTCTGCTTGATATAATATGAAGATCAGCTTTACCAATTTCATGTGCTTTAAAATATTATTTAGTTCCAATTGCATATTCATTTTCTGGAATCTTGCTGGAATATGAAGATCAGCTTTACCAATATCATGATCAGGGGGGGCTACCTTGCTGGAATGAAACTAATCGCTAGATGTGGTTTTCCTTACTGGCTGGCACTTGGCAGTACTCAAGGAGATGGAGAAATTATAACTCTGCATATGTTAGCACATTTGATTGTTTCTTTTCCTTAGATATAAATCAGAAAAATTACTATAAATTTTTTTCTGTGGTTGAGGAATAAAAAGCACTGAATATATGCAGAATGGCTATTCTTCAAATGAGCAAATAAAATGAAGGTTACCATATACTCAGCCATTTGGAGGGATTTGATGTGTAGAAGTCACAAAGTTTGTGGTTTGGTGATTATGTGTATGGATAAAGATGCTCTAACTTGCATTATTCTTGAGGATTCTAGTTTGGGGTGGTTTCTTTGATGATATTCAATTTGAAGTAATTTGTTAATATTTTGAAATCAAAAGGACTTTTCCTACTTTGAAACAGATTGAAGTTCCAGAAGGCTTGAAGGCAGAGCTGTTCCCACATTTTATGGGAAAAAATGAAAAGCAAACCTATCGATCTACTTCCATATTGGGAAAAATTTATGATAAAGTGAAAGCATATGAAGACATGGATCTGTCATCAAATGGTGAGGGTTTTATGAATCTAAAGATTGAAGCTATGAACCTCACGTGGTGGTTAAATTTCCCAGGACATGAAAATTATTTGAAGATTTTTTGTTTTTTAGCATTTACAAATATGATCATTAAATTGAGTTTTATTGATGCTTTTTCAATCCGTTAGATGTTTGGAAACTCCCTTGCTTTGACGATGAAGTTCAAGAGTTGTACCTTGTGAAGTGGAAGGAACTCTACGGTCAATACAGGAAGGAGATGTGCATTGCTCTAAAGGCTGGTGAAGAGAGCAACGACAAGGCTAATGAAGTAATAAAGAAATACAAGGAGGTCAGTTTATCATTTCTTATTAATCCTTTCCTTTTAAAATAGTCTTGGTGCTGCCTTTTGCTTCCAACTTCACTGACTTGTCATCATCTCATATAGTTATTATATGAAGCCGCGGAATTTAATTTGAGCAAACGAAGAGATGAGGAAATCTTTGAGGAGGCCGTGGCTCTGTATCAGGTTTCTTACAATCATGCCAAGAGCCAAGGAGTTGTAGGAAATTGCAGTTTTGCCTGGAGAGTCGCAGGTTTAGCTCTTTGCACGCTCTACGTTTTGAAGAATCAGGGTGAAAGACCTATGATATGTTCGCCATCTGCTCTGAAAGCGATTTTGTAGTTTAGACTAGAAATAATGTTGTGGTAATATAGCATAAAGATTTATGGTAAGTGTTGGGTTTTTTTTTTTTTTCTCAATACTAATCACGAGTATGCAAATGCGGTGAAATTATAACTTTAATGTTTAATTTTGCTAGAATTTGGAAGAATTGATAAGTTCAAGCACTTAATTAAATTTTAAATTTGTTTAATTAATGATATGGGGAGTTTAATTAATGAAATTGAAGACTTAATTAAGCTTAAAATTAATTTAATTAATAAAAGCAGGAGTTTAATTTTTAGAGTCAATTAAAATCTAAATTGATTAAAATTAAAGTTAATGATCGTTTGCAAAAAAGGCATTAGAATATAAAACAGAGAAAACCCAAGCGAAACCGAAGAAGCACCATCATCCTCGCCCCTTCATCTCCAAAACCAGAGGCAATAGAATATAAAAGAAAAGGCAAAGGAGAAATAAGCCCAGAGAAGAACACCAACAAACAAAAACACCGAGATGAGAACCGATATTAACCATTGTTTTCACAGCCTTCAGCAACTAGGTAAGTTTCTTTCTCTCCTCTCGTTTTGCCTCATTTTCATTTTAATTCAAACTGCACTGCCCTCTTCAAGTGAGTTATTAGCTTGGGCTAGTGATCAAACTGCACTGCCCTCTTCAAGTGAGTTTTAATTCAGTGAATACGATAGCAACATATGTTAATCAACGCACGCACGTTGCTTTTGCTTTTCCCAGTCGAGTTATTAGCTTGAGCTAGTGATTGGTTTAAGCCAACTAGATTCAGGTAAGTTTCTTTCTCTCCTCTCGTTTTGCCTCATTTTCATTTTAATTCAAACTGCACTGCCCTCTTCAAGTGAGTTATTAGCTTGGGCTAGTGATTGCTAAGAATGTGTTTGACCTTATGCTTTATTCATATATTTTATTCCCTTTCTTATATGATATCTAGCCAAGTGAGCTTCTTTTTTATAATAGAAAATTCTAAAAATATTTAGGGATATTTATTAATTTATTTATTTTTATTTTTTCTGCTATATATTTAATATGTGGACCATTGTTGTTAAATACAAATATTTATGTTACGCAATGTTTTTTTTATTCTTGTCTAAAAAGAGCAAATAAAAAAAAAAGTAAGCAAAAAAAAAAAAAAAAGCATTAAAATTGTTTCTTCTTTATTAAAAATTCATTCATTATCGTCAGAGTTAAGAATATTATATTTTTTTAGTTTATATAGTATTTACCAACACTAGAATTGAAAATATTCATAGGTACTGTTCACTAACATCAAAGTTAAAAATATAATAAGAAGAACACAAAAATAAAGAAAAACAAATTCTTAGGAATTTCAGATAAAACTAGCAATGCAATCTGCCTCAGACAAAACATTTAAAGGGTGATAACATCTTTCTTTTCGAGTAATTAGTCTCGTACCATATGATTTTTATTGAGCAGTTAGAGTTCCTAATTATCATAATACTAAGTGATGACTTCTTAAACTAGACTGTTTCCTCAAAGAACAAGATATCAATATCTGTTCTTTTTTCATAGATTTATTTTTAATTAGTTACTGCAATGTCCGAGTGTGACAATTATTATTATTATTATTAAAAAAAACATAAAATTAATTTGAAGGGATTAAAAACTATATGAACTTGATATGAACTTGAATTAGATAAGTTTATTATTATTATTAGGGGAGTCGGACCCCATAAACTTGGGTTTGACAGGGGTATCAACCCATGTTAATTGGGTGGAAAGTGATGACATACCAAGAAATTTGGATCTGGTAAAAAATTTGGGTGTGGAACGGCCAAATCCCAAGATATAGGGTCTAACAAAGACAGTGAACCCAGGTTGCATGGGTCTTGAAAGGGATGTCATACCAAATGAATGTGAATCTTATTATTATTAATTTTATTAGTTTTATTTTTTAAAATAATATTATTATTATTGAAGAAAAACCGTAAATTTAATTTGGAGGGTAAAATTAAAAATTATTATTATTAAATTTCAAAAACAAAACCATAGATTTGATTTGAATGGAAAAATTAAAATTTATTATTATTATTATTACTAAATTTTGAAAAAAAAATACTAGTACCATTGAAGAAAAACTATAGATTTGATTTGAAGAGTAAAATAAAAAATATAAGAACTTGGATCAAGCATATTTAATATTATTATTAATATTATAAATAGTATTATTTTTATTTTTATTAATATAATTATTAATTAATTTGAAAAAATATTATTACTATTAAAAAATATAGATTTGATTTGAAGGGTAAAATTAATTATTATTATTATTAAATTTTATAAAATATTATTACTATTAATGCAAACTATAAATTTAATTTGAAGGGTTTAAAAACTATCATAATTTAGGTCAAGTAAGTTTAATATTATCATTAATATTATTATTGTTGTTATTATGAATATAATTATTAATAAATTTAAAAATAAAATTAATACTATTAAAAAAATCATAAATTTAATTTTAAAAATAAAATTATTAATAATAATATTCTTGGGTTAGGCGGCTTAACTCAAAGCTTGGATCTAGCATAATTGTCAAATCTAAATCTCTTCTAAAAATATTTTTTAAAATGTAAAATATATTTTTTAAAATATCTTTTAAAATGTGTAACTCCCCCTTTTTATATATATTTTTTTTATAAAAAAAATCTAATTTTTCTAAACAATAATTGAATCTACAATGTTTGGTTACTTGGTGTATGTATAGTGTATGTATAGTAAATTCATATATTGCCCATCGTCGTCAAAGTCAATTGACATGTGGTGATCAACGAATTAACAAGTGTCCTCAATATTCTTGTTAAAATAATAATATACTTGTTAAAATAATAACATACTAGTCGCGATGGTCAATCAATATATTAGCCTCCTTTCTGTTTTTGAGTTTCTTTTTAAAATTTATGGAATTTAGTTTTATAATAAAGATAATTTTTTAAATATTTGATTTTTTAAAATTTAAATTTTGTTATTTTATTTAATTTTTTAATATATTTATTTTTATCTCATAATTAGATCATATATTTAACAAAATAATTAAAATATATGAAAAAACAATTTCAACCTAATATATTAAACTATTAAATAAAAAATATAATTTATATTATTATTTAACATACCATCTCAAATAATATATCACCTTAAATAAAAATCATTTGATCTTGAAATTTATATAAGTTCATATTACATTATACTGAATTTTTATTAAATAAATAGAGATGATGAGATCATAATTATTAAACCCGGCCCGGCCCGACGAGTCATCCCGGGATTTGGTTGATCTGATTTTAAAAATAAAATTATTAATAATAATATCCTTGGGTTAGGCGGGCTAACCTAAGATTCTTGGATCTAGCATAATTGTCAAATCTAAATCTCTTCTAAAAATATCTTTTAAAATGTAAAATATATTTTTTAAAATATCTTTTAAAATGTGTAACTCTCCCCTTTATATATTTTTTTTTATAAAAAAAATCTAATTTTTCTAAACAATAATTGAATCTATTACTTGGTATATGTATAGTAAATTCATATATTGCCCATCGTCGTCAAAGTCAATTGACATGTGGTGATCAACGAATTAACAAGTGTCCTCAATATTCTTGTTAAAATAATAACATACTAGTCGCGATGGCCAATCAATATATTAGCCTCCTTTCTGTTTTTTAGTTTCTTTTTAAAATTTATGGAACTTAGTTTCATAATAAATATATTTTTTTAAATATTAGATTTTTTAAAATTTAAATTTTATTATTTTATTTAATTTTTTAATATATTTATTTTTATCTTATAATTCGATCATATATTTAGTAAAATAACTAAAATATATAAAAAAATAATTTCAATCTAATATATTAAACTATCTAATATATTAAACTATTAAATAAAATTTTAAAATATAATTTATATTATTATCTAACATATCATTTCAAGTAAAATAACAGTAAAAGTTATTTGGTCTTGAAATTTATATAAATTTATATTATATTATATTAATTTTTTATTAAATAAATAGAAATAATAAGATTATAATTATTAAATTCGGTCCGGCCCGACAGGTCACCCCGGATTTGATTGACCTGGCCGACGAGTCATCCCGGGATTTGGTTGATCTGATGGCCAGACCAGTTCAGATTTATCAAAGATCGGCCGATATAAAAACCCATTAAAACTCGGTCTATCCGGCAGATCAACCCATAACTCGGGCGGTCTGGGCAAACCTGAGCAAGAACCAGGTGACTCTCCATGATAGATTTAGGATTTTATCTCTGTTTGAACACGTGGAGGTTGAAAAATTAATAGTGATTTGGTTGTGAGCGATGACATAAGCTTCAAATCCGTGTCTTCGAGAAGAAAAAGAGGGTTTTGGAGCGCAGATCTAGCATAAATCAAAAAAGGGAAAAAATCTCAGGGTTTGGGAGCGTAGATCTAGCATGAATCAAAAAGGGAAAAAATCTCAAACAACAAAAAATAAAAAGAAAGAACATGGGGAAGAGAGAAGAAAGATTTACCTAGAGATTGAAAACTTGTTGATCTCTCTTCACTGATTAGAATTTAAGCCCAAGGCGTAAGAAAGGAGAGGCAGCAACGAGGAAGGGTGCAAACAGAGCAATAGATATTATTTTTGTTTTATGTTAAGAGTGATTCAGAAAATACTTTACGCTCTCTTCTCAGTGTCAAATATTTTCAACCCTTTTTGTTGAAAATGGGTTAATTGAAAATATTATACTTTTTAACTTAATTTTTTTAAATAAACATAGTAAAATATTTTTAGAACTTTATTTCGCACTTAGAGTTTTTATCAAGCGGAGATAAATTTTATTTTATAAAAATTAATTAATAAGTATATTTTATTTATTTTTGAGATTTTTTATTAAATATAAATCTTGAACTATTACTCTACTGACCTTTAAATTTTAACTGATTTTATTTCATTTCATGTCTTTTTCTCTTGCTCTTAAATATATTTAAAAAAATCATGTTCACTTCCTTTTCTTTTATTCTTCTCAAATTTACTATTATGAGGAAATTGTTTTATTATAAAACATAATTAGAAGCATATATTTTCTAGTTAAATACCATTAAAAAAATTTCTTCTTTATTTTAATAATTTTTTATGAAATATTAAAACTTTAAATATATTTTTTTAAATTTTCCCGAGTTGATCCAGGTTGACCCGTAAAACCCGAGATCTGGTTCCTTGACCTGGTCAATACCCGGGTCAGGTTTAATAATTATGGGTGAGATTCGAACTCGTGACCGTCTGGTCATAAAGGTTCTGATATTATGTGAAAGAATTATTTCAACCCAATAATTTAAATTCTTATGTGAAGTCTCAGGACATGATTTATATTATTCTTTAACAAGGTGGACTCAAGTTATTTTTTAATATGATTTGTTTTTCA